GATGCCAGGAGCCCTAGTAGCTTCTTGTTCCTAGTAGTAAGGCCAGGAACCCCTAGTAGCTTTTTGGTTCCTAGTAGCAAGGCCAGAGGCGTCTTGGCCCAAGCCTTCGCGAGGCGCGCCTGTCGCCTCCACTTGCGAGTGGGGGTACGGATTGGGCCATGAGAGCCCACGGAGGGGCGTGCAATGGTATCATCCGTCACCTGTTTCATGCTGAGACTCGGTGGCGCGCTGATTCCAAAGAAGACATTTTACCACATCTGGTCTTACATCGACATCGTGACTTTGCAGTGGTTGAGTGCGTAAAGACAGATGGTATCAAGTGCATCTTGAAAGTGTCTCATTCAGTTCTTGCCTGCATGAACACTTTTGAGTCTTCGCGGATGTATACCTGGAAGATTGGAGGATGTCTTCAGATGGGTATCATTCGACCTGCCGACACTCAGGTGCTGCCGGATCCGTTTTTGATGCACGATCGACCAAAAATATCTCCTGGATGCACTGATCCGTTTTATCGACCGATCCCAGAGACCTTCGAGCCATGGGCACAAGATTATGCCCGCTCCGAGTCGGTAACAGGATTCGGGCTTATCCAGGAAGACACTGCATTGTGGGAACCCTGGTGCTGGAGCTTTGTCAATATACAATCGACTGGCACACAGACGACCTACAAGCACCAGGACCATTTTGGCGACGCTGACATTTTTTCAACAGTCTCAGGCGAAGCCATCTCATCTATGCAAAACGGTCAGACCTCAGTGAATTCTCCGATTTTATCTCCAACAAGCCCGTTTGACCCTGATGTGACACTCCTGTCGCACCATGACGTCGGAGAAGCACAGGCTCTCCCACAGGAAGATCCATTTCTACTGATGGAGCCATGGGCCTATGCATATGCGCCTCGTGACATGAACGGTAGTACTCTCATGGATGTCCACGAAGACCAGTATCTTGAACCATGGAGTGCGCATTTCATATCCTCAGAGATGCGTACTGAACAGGCCGATCCTGTTCATTTGCGGTCGGATCACTCCATGAAACCAAGGTGTCAATACACCCTCTCACATCGTGTCTCAACATGGTTCAAGGCAATTTTCACGTCCATGCCAACGGGGTCGTGTTCAGACGGTTTGAAGTCGTGTTTCACCTCATACCCCATCAACACGAAGCCCTGTTGGAAAGATGTGTCAGGTCTGCACCCGTCTTACTGTGCAAGGTTTGAGTCCTTTTCTCGACAGTTTGGGGACAAGCAAGGGAGACAACATGAGCATACCCAAACGACTGATCCTGCTACTGCAATTTTGTTTGAGACTCCATTCCATTTGCCACCAGATATGCCACCATCGAACACAAGAGTCTCTCTAATTCGAGAGGGCCATTTTGGCCCACCACAGCATGCCGACCGTCAAGACTTAATTCATCAGGCCACCCGCCTTGACGTTCCTACTATGTCTATCTTTGCATCAGTTTTTCATTGCTGGACAGCATTTCAAGCAAGTTGTACAGTTCGTTTGACAACTGTACGAGATGTCATCATTCCTCCTTGTTTGCCACTGTTCCAGCAATTGCATCCAACTTGTGTTGGTCAACACGAGATTGTATCGCAACGCACTATTACCAACCTCGATGTATCGAATACCTTAGAGATCCGAACACCAGAGTACATCAGACCAACTACGGCAGATTCGTTAGGCCAATCAAGATCCGCACCTGTGACTTGGCATACAGGTTTTTGCCATAAGAATGACCAAGATCGACTCGCTCCCGTTCCACTACATCAAACCATCAATAGCGGGGCTGTACCCGATTTTACAACCTCAAACAATCAGGACGCAGAGTACTTCGACAGTGTGACTCCAGCGACATACGATAGCATTGATTGGTCTCGGCAATCTTTTGGATATCGTGCTCCAAGACCTTTCGTGATCTTCTCTCATGGTCTTACAGACTTTCAGTCTTTTTTGTCAGGACAAATGACACCGGATCCAGAATTTGAGTCACCAACAGAACCCCTAAGGGGAGGGCATCAGCAACTTCTTGCTCTTCAACATCAGAATAGTGATGTTTTGGGTACGGTACAAACTTCGCCCGAAGTGACTGACAATCCCTGCCAATGTCCTACACATCAACAAGCTGACCTTTTGACAGTCAGTCGAAGTGATTCAGACGTCTTCAGTATATAGTGACTCCCGCTATGAAAGTTTTGCATACTACAGATCTACCGCGCCGGTTGGTAGGGAATTTCCTATCATCTTCACCGAGGAGGAGATGCAGGTCCACAAAAGTCCTGTCAGCAATGCCATACACGCGGAGCAGTCTACCCGGTTGATTTTTGATTGGGCCAGAACGGGAGCACGGTTCGTATGCAACGGAGCAAAGTCCATGGGTAGCTCATCCTATTTCAAGGAGAGCTACACTCAAATTTGCCAGAACAGATCCATCTTTGCGGATGACACTCGACACAACTTACAGGGAGGTTTTATTTCCACTTTCTCTGCCCATGTGTGGCCTCACAGTTCCGCATCTATCCTACCTGACCATTTGGAACTGTATATCAGATGTCAGTCAGATTGGAATGAATCTGTTGCAAATGCAACTGGTGTCACCAGTCATGTACAAGCTCTACCGCATCTTACCATATCAAGTGGGGCTGTACCCAGTAACAACCGTGGCACAATGGAAATTTTCCTCACAAGCGATTATATACCAACATTTTCCAATCTACAGGCAGACATATCGATTTCGAAGCAGACTCTTCCACCTCCACGACGTATTACCACATGCAGTGGGGCTGTACCCAGTATCTACCACAATGCAGATGTCCGACTCCCCTGCGAAGAGACAGTTGTTCCAGATGGTGTGACTCTTTCAAATAATTTTGCTTCGCCTACAGTTCATGATCTTATCCAGATGTTAATGCCGCTACGTTCTGCTCCATCGGAGCCCTATGGCTCGATCCCAGCTCATTTCACAATGGAGACATACTTCCAGCTGGACGCACGGTTCGATGCCAATGTCTTTTGTTTCTCCAGCCAGTTTTTCCATGAAGAATGTCATCGACCACAACAGTCTACCATATCAAGTGGGGCTGTACCCAGTGGCAACCGCAGAATTTCAGACAGAAACCACTCTTCTATTCGAGACCTCGATCCTCTACAGCTGTGGTTCCAGTATCCAAACGACTCCAAGTTATTCTCAGAGATGCTGCAATGTTCAGGGACTGTACAACCCCTACATCGTCAACGGAGCTCCATTGGAACTCGTGAGGCATTAGATTGCCACGCCCTGGCTTTGCAGATCTTACTCACAGACAGATGTGTACTTCTATGAATGATGGTGGCCATCAAGCTCATGATCATACACCCTCAAGGGGTGTTTATGCATCATCCTATGTACCTCGACATCAGAACAATGATGTTGTACTTCCTGTGCCACCCCAAGGACTTCTTTGCCAGGATTCCACCAATGCTTCAAACTCTTATACTTTGCAGTCAATGGTGGCTTTTCCCACAGCTATTCACAAGTGTGATACCGTGATCGATGTGACAGATCTACGACAATTCAACGACAGATCCTTGCTTTTCGATATTAGAAAGGTGACTCAGCGACCACTGCACAACGCTACAGATTCAGGGGCTGTACCCGATCCGGCCACGACGATACAAGGCTTTCTCCGAGCTCCAACACAGGATCCACTACAGGCAACTTCATCTAGTGGGGCTGTACCCGTAAACGACCTCTCACATGCCGCATCGTTTCGAGGATGGGGCCAGGCCATTTATGTTGGGGGTCATCCTGCGTGGGGACGATGTGAAATCATACACATGGCGCCAAACCCACCTTTTGCAGAACGATGCGCCGCAGCCACGCAAGACAATGGATGGTTGGCCTCTGACGAAGCACTATGGTTCCTGCGTCTACTCCAGACATGGAGGTCCGATATTACCATTGGGCCACTTATTCAGTGGAGCCCAAGCCGAGATCTCCAGCATTTGATGGCGGCGGAAGATCAGCTCCAATGCAATAATGGCTACCTAAACATCCTCCTATTTCTGGTAGAAGCACACTGGTGTGCAGTCGAGGTTGATCGCCGAACCGAACCGGTTCACGTGGTTCTTATTCAGTGGCCCCAGGAACATCATACTTTGGTTATCCTGGAGGTTTCTCGAATTCTGCAGATTCCCACCAACAGAATGCTGGTTACAATAGATACCACTCATGAAGTAATCACCATGTGCGGATGGACTATTTTGTTCCGATGGTATACCAATTTCGCCATGCAGACATGTCTTCAACCACTAATCCATGCTACGGACCAGACTCAAGCTCAGATCGATAGTGTCTTAAACCGAGCACAACGTCACTGGAATCGTACCAATGCACCCAGTTGTCTCCGTAATTTTGCCGTAGAGTGCCGTCGTGCCTTCATGTCCGCCTATGCTCGTGATCAACCCGATACACGACTGCCTAATGTCGTTTCGACGGTTATGTTCGTGGGTCCACAGGAAGAGTATGTCCAAGAAGTTAACCAGGTGCCAAGACCACCCACGCACCGAGAACGAGAAATCAACTGGTTACGTACTATGCTCATCCAGCCTGCCTGGCTCACCAACTTCGAAGTTGAACTCGTACTCCAGATGACAAGAATGCAAATTCTTGATAGATTTTTGCCAGGTCCACTTCATTTCGACCCTGTCACCGGCCAGCTAGAACCATTCGTTAATGATCTCCCAAGTGTGGCTGGTTATACCA